TAAAACTTGATTTTGTTGACACTGAATCAGCTCGCCGGGATGGGCTGCACACTAGCCTAGATCCTTTGTAAGCAAAATCTAGGCACACACACACACACACACACACACACACACACACACACACACACACACACACACACACACACACACACACACACACACACAAAAACTGATATTGTGACACCCCAACCTCACAGCACTGAGGCCTGACTGTAGTGTTAATGCCACTCCCAGGACCATGCACTAGTGCTCCTTATTTAGGTCCTATCAAGCCTGTAGGCTGAAAATCTGTCTCTTCCACGCCTCCTCCTCTTTTTCACTTTCCCACCCCCTGCCAGACTGCCAGGCCTTAAGTCCCTCGGTTCCATCACTCCATCACTGAGAGGAAGGAGATGTGGAGAGAGAGAGATGCCTTCACACACCCCAATAGCTTTTCCGTCTGCTGAAATGTACTCAGTGTTCCCCGATTGGCAGCTACAAGGTGAAATGTGACACAAAAGTGGAGGAAAAAAAAAAAAGGCTGCTTTTTACAAGTAAGAAATGTGCACTCAGAGAGACAGTGAGTGAGCTGGTGGAGGTTCAGTGTTTCGCTTGAGGTCAAGCTGGCTGTTGGCTTTAGTCATGAGAAGGTCTCTCTGACTACTGTGCTATAATACCCATGGCTCTGTTTAACCCTGGATAGCGAGGTTGCTGATGTGTTAAATTATTTCTTAACAATAGGCCTTTTTTAACTGCAGATAAATGACCAGACAGTCAATTAACTTATCATTTTACTGCATTAATAAGATGTGATTAGCTACTGCAAACACAGCTCTAACAGCAGACATAAAGACATTAGGAAAAAAGGAATGAAAATGGAAATTGAGGAAAAACGTCTGTCTATGTCAGGGACTTTTTTGTAAAAGCCTTTTTAGTCTTGCTGAAATTCATGCACATTACTTCTCTACTGACCATTTTTCAAAATGTGCCATAATTTATTTATTTTCTACTTTTAGTAGACTCAGTAATTTCATAAATGTTGGTATGTTCAAATCAACCAAAAAACCATTTCACCCTCAAAGGTTGCACTATTGTGATGTGGTGCTGCAGCTTGACCCCTCTGAAAACCATCCGTTCTCAACCGATGCATTGAAAAACATCATTCATTGCAGAGTTGAAGGTCACGGATGTTGCAAAGCTTCGCATTCATAAACAATTGTTGTAAAATCATGTCCTGTGAACAAGAAATAAGCAATAACATGGAAAAGCATAATGTGACTCTGAATGTCTCTTACGTTAACAAAGTTGTGGTTTAGTAACTGACTCTCATGAGAGAGCATTCAACATGGAAAGTTTACATAACATGTTCTGTTTGCTGTATCACGGCAATAACGACACATCTTAAGCTAACATTGATTCATAGCAAGTTAATTTTAACATGCCTACAGCGAGCTATACCAAAACTCATGTACTTGCATTTAATGGATGGAAATAATTGGCTAAAACATGCAAAACCAATGGTGTGATCCTCTACAATCTGCTGCACATCTTCCTCTAATGGATCCAGATAAGTTTATTTGCTTTAATTTTACATCCTGACTGAAGAGTGTGTCAGGCGGCTGTCAAAGTATGGCTATTAGAAACATTTTCTCAAATTGATTTCAAAATAAGATAAATAGGCTAACATGCTGATGCTGGTGCAATAAGGTCATACTGTATGATACTGCAAATTAGTGGATACAAGCTTTTTCCTTTCTTACATAGCTGCACTTAAGTCAGCAAAACTGATCTCACCTGAAGGTTTGTTTTTCTGTAGTGCAGCCTGTCCCTGTGTGAAGCAACTGATAGCTTCCACAACACTAGATGCACTTAACCACTTAATCACTATATCATCTCTGAAAATCAATGCTCTGCTTAATTAACGGCAATCAAATACGACAGCAGCTCGTGGTCCAGGACATATACGTATCATTGCATATGATTATTTTTTTTTTCTGTTTTTACATTTCAAACAATTGAAACTCATATTGAATTTTCTCTATCTGCTTCCCAGATGTCAGTTGGGATGAGGGTTTAATGAAGTGCTGCAGCACAGACTGACTCATATATGCTTTTCCTAAGGATCGACTGTGACTCATAAAGAAACTGCTGCAGGAGCAAACACACCAGTGTGCACATACTGTATAATTAGGAACACGAGCAGCACATATACAACTGAATTTATTTGTAAGCTGGCATTCTCCTGATTTTATTGGCTTTGCTGTGACAGCAATGAATAATAATAGATAAATAAACAAATCTAAAGAAAAGTGACTGCTTTGAAAAAGAAATCAAAGGTAATCATTTGAATATGAAGTGAGGCAAAACATTCATTTTTGATGACTACCTGAGATTAAAGGAAATATTCCAAGCTCTACAACCTATAGCATGGTATACATGAAAGGCTGATCAAATTCAGCAGACACAGTGCACAGGACACAAAATGGAGAACAGGCAGAAGAGATAAGATATTAAAAAAAAAATAGGTGAGGAGGAAATGAGAGGAGTAAGAGAGAAATTGGAGGAAGAGGAGCAAGAGCGATGGAAAGAAAATTACTTTTGACACAAGCGAGCAATGAGAGCAAAGGGAGGGCTGAATTATCAGACGTGCATCTTTGTGTGTGTGTGTGTATGGAAATGTGCCAATGACGTGTGTGTGTGGTGTAAGTAGCGGTGTTTGTGAGCGTAAATATACATGCATGTTCTGACAGACTGCTGTTGAGTTGCAAGAGCTGATGCTTGACTCTTCCCAGTCTCTACAAAACGCTTCCTTTGAAACAGGAGAAAGTCTGGTCAAAGACAACAGGAGCAGAATCAAAAGGTCTGTGTTCTCTACAGGATCTACACCGCTTCCGCTTCTCCATCTCTCTCATTTTTTCTATATTTTTCTCTCTTTTCCCAACCCCCCTTTTCCTTCTTTTTTTTTTCAAATTCATTTTCTTTCCTCTCACTTATTTTCAAAGCGCTTAGACAGTGAGAGTGGAACACTTTCCCTCTGTCCCACTGGAGAATCAATATACAACAGAGCCCAGAGGTCCAAACAGGAGAAAGGCTGAGGAGAACAGCACAACACCGATCCATAATGGATTTTCTTCTCTCTTTCATTCGCTTTCTGCAGCGAGATGCAATGGAGGCACCACTGGCACAGAATGAGAGACCCAGGGAGGGGAGGGGAGGGGGTGGCAGAGAAGAGGTGAGAGAGGGGGATATCGACGGGGACAAACAGAGAGGCCGACATAGACTCAAAACAGTGTCAATAACAAAAGCCCTTAAGAATATTTCTCTCATCTGTCTCTAGAGGGCTCGCATAACATATGCTTTAAACTATTTGCAAGGCTAAGCTTGTGGCAGAAGGTGACAAAAATTACAAACAGCTTTAGTGTAGCTTCAACTGATCAGATGCAGAAATTGTTACTAATCACGTTAGCTTGTATGTGAGGGACTGCCAGGTCTGAAAGATGCTAGACTGCAGGCAATAATATCCTAAAATACATAAATGCATCAGTGAGTAACAGCTCTCTGGCTGTATCTTTTAATTGCAGCTCATACAAAGAGAAGTCTGGCTCCTTAGATGGCAATCAAGACCAACAATATTTATTTCTAAAATCCTGAATGCTTGGCAAAGTGTAAACTTATAGTGAGCATGAAACTCTGCAAACCGGAGAGCCAATATTTCAGCTTGCGATGTTAGCACAAGGCAGCACTTTCCGAGGCTGTTAAATTGACGGTTGTACGGGAGGATGAGACTGCTGATTCAGAAATTGTTTGTTTGACTCTTCACACCCAAGTGGGCTTCATTTCATTTTGCTGGTAGCTCCAAAGTACAAAATGTGCCCAGAATCTCGTCAAATAACCTCAGATGCTGTCACAGTGTCCACAGAGTAAGTCTTGTATTACTCACCAAAGGATCTGCCCTAACTGCCTCTAAGTGCATCAGCGATTATAGTCTTGATTATAGTTTTGCCTCTTTTCCAGTTTCCAGGCCACTACCTTCATCAATACCTCTAAGTCCAAATGACTCTATAAAGGACACTTTCAGTTTAATACAACTTGGTGTTTAATTCCGTGGTTTTGGCCATCTTTGTTATTGCCCACAATAGTGTTGTACCAACTACAATAAAGATGATGACATCACCACAACAAAATCTAATGATGCAAGCGATGAGTGGTTGGACGAGGTTGTAAACAGAAGTAGAGCCAGCCTACCTCTCTCTTAAACCAAAAGTGAGGGAAGCCAAAATGTCACTAATAGTCCCACATTGCACATTAAAACTGTAAGCGCACAACGACTGTAGGTCACAGCTGAACCAGGATGTTGATCTGTAAACTGTGATGGATGCTTACTATGGACGATTTGATTAACAATTTCACTTTTTATCTGGATCTTCTCTTCCAAAATCGTTTTGCTAACCTGGGGTTTGTGTTTGCTGCAGCCAATGTTTTTCAGCTCATCTGACCTTTTGTTTTTTGCAGTGTCCCCAAAGCTCAGCCCCCCCCCCCCCACTGTTCACTGTGAGACACTAGCACTACCTAGGACTTTCATGGACTGCAATTACTACAAGTGGATATGATATGTTTTATATGAAAGTATACAACTGAAACTTTAAAATACAATGTCTCCCTACCTTCTGGCAGTCCAACAATGTAATAAATACTATGTCCTTTATTACAAGTCAATACAAAGTCAATTTGGGGAGGGAGGGGGGGGGGGGGGGGGGGTTATGTTGCTCAATCTTACCTTTGTCACTGTAAAATACTGAATCCTTTAAAGGAGCCGTTTTTCTTGTAAACACAATGATGGCTGAAGCTCTTGTCAAGACTGATGAGCTGTTAATGCTAATGTTGGCTATGTAGCAATAGCAAAACTTACAAATAGCTCCTTTACCTTACATTTCAAATTTCAAATTGTTGGCTACATTTTGTACCCTGGACATCATAAAACTCAGCACATAAAGACATTAAACATTTAGGGCCAACTTTACCGTGTGCGCAGGTTCCCAGGGCTGGGTGGCCCATCATATACAGACAAGATGTCAAAGTCCTCCTCTAGGGCGAAGCCTTGAAACACCAGCTGTATCCGGTTGTGCTCCGCCGCCACAATCACCCATGTACAGTTGGCATAGTTAGGATAACCGTAAGGGTAGCCGGGGCTCTCTATCGTCCCATTGGGACTGTGTAGTGTGTAACTGCAGTTCTGAGCTGTGAATAGAAAAAGAAATAGGCATTTATTAAAACGATGTAAGGCAAGTTAGAACAGCTAACACAGTGTGGAAAGAGTTTAAAACCAAATGAAAGACACTCATCTTTATCCCCAAATAGAATTTATACAAATACCCACACAAGCAAACCCACAATCAAACAATTTGCACCAAGTGCTGCAACATCCATTATCACCTGCAGCATGCAGCATAGGCCATTAATATAGCAGTGCTAAATGGCTCACCCTCTCCCATCTTTCCCCACCTCCATCATCACACACTTGTTCACTCACTGGCCCTTTCACCGCATTAGTAATAGTTTCCCACGTTAATACATGACATAGCTGGAGGAGAGAAGATGAGGGGGCAACAGGGGAGGAGAGGACACACACACACACACACATACACACATAAAGAGAGACACAGACACTTGAGTACTACATTAATTGTACTCATCTTGTATGTTTCTCAACAGCCACTCACACTGCCTTCAATCTTACATTTTAAGACGTTGCCATCTATCAGTAGAGAGTGTGGGGTGGACGCGTAGCAGGTGAGCTCTAAGGTTGTCTGTTTTGAATCCGAGAGCTAAGTGACCGATCGGAGCACAGCCGAGAGTTTTAATCAATGTCAGGGATATAGTTATAATCAGTCACTAATGTGGACTGATATGTGACTGCACTCATATTTTTGTGCAGCTCTGTATGTTGTCAGTGTTGATGCACAAATTAATATCTTCTTGGATAGCATCATAGAAAGCTGATAACACACTCACTTGATCTTGAGTGATGATAGTCATCTCCTCCAATCAAAAAAGGCCGATGTGAAAGTTAATTCAGTCAGCCAGCTGTCAGTCTGCCATTCACAGGTGACAAGCGGATGAAATGTGGATACGCTGGACAATCGCTCACAATAAGTAGCCCTACGTGCTACAGCGTCTGAACTAAGACAGCGGGAATGTGACGAGGTTTGTGAAGAAACAAACCTAACATAAGTCAGGTTGTGGTCACATGAAAGGAACCTGCATAAATAAATATCCTCAGAGAGGAGCTAAATTAGAAAGTCATGCTGGAATACATGCTATTTATACAAATGATCTGTATTTTCATTTTGTTTGCCTCAGCCACAAAACCTGAATCATAATGCAGCCTGATTAAAATGTAATTAGGAGGACATCTGTTATCTGCATAACCCACATTATTCAGCAACACAAACAAAGCAACAGTAGATATGATTTTGGTTTTGTTCATTTATATCCGTACTCATAACTGTGTAAATGCATGTGATAAATCAATACATGGAAATGAGCTAAACTGCTTGAGGGCATTAAAACAATGCATTAAAAAACAAGAATATTGAGTAAACACATTGCAGCTTTGAAACATGTAAAAGTGAAGGCTGCTTGGTTAAATCCCTCCAGGGGGGAATGTGAGTATCATTGAATTATTGAATGCTTGTAAAACATACAGATTCTGTGCTACTTTGTGCGCACTCTTTGATGGGTAGCGCAATCCCAAAGCTCAAAATCCGTCCAAATTTTCACTCTGAAACATGCTTCATGTCTGAAAAGCCAGCAGGGATTTACAGGTAATAAGGCACCAAGCATGAAGAGACAACGGGTAAGAAATAACAAGGAGTAATTTTTATTCCTCTCAGTCTTACTCACAGCTGAAATAAATAAAAACTGGGTTTTTTTTAAGAAAAGAAATGACGAAAAAAAAAAAAAACTTAAGCATGGACATGGATAATCCCTGGTTAGCCAGACGAGCTGGATTTGTTTTCACAGCAATAATCAAGCACGGTGTTTAAGATTTCAGGGGCTACGTGCCACATCACCGTGTTCATGAATCCTGAAATGCTGCCGGAAAAGCACTAGCTGACTCACACAGACACACACCCACACACACACACACACACACACACACACACAGATACACACACACACACACACACACACACACACAGATACACACACACACACACACACACACACACACAGATACACACACACACACACACACACACACACACAGATACACACACACACACACACACACACACACACAGATACACACACACACACACACACACACACACACACGCACACACAAACAAACAAAACCAATATTAGCTTTTTGTTCCAGGTAGCGCAGCAAATCTGTATCACAATACATTTTCTTTGGGAGGGGAGGGGGGAAAAAGGGGAGATAGTGTCAGGAGGTATAGATCCAGACTGTCTGGATGGCATCAGCATCAGCAGCAGCAGGAGGATAAAAGCATCTCCAGTCACAGTATATCCATCATGCGACTGTTGACTCCCCGGGGCCTGTCTCATCAAAAACCAGGCAGGAGCCTCTTACCCGTCACTTTTCAGCGCTTCATATGTGCTTGACCTTTTCCAAAAGATTCTAATGTGTGTGCACTTGAACCCTGGCCACTTGAACACACTTAAGCTTGGTCTATAATTTTGCATTGAGAGTTCGGCTCTTTGTTTGCTGTTGAGATCTGCAAGTGCTACAATGAATTCTTCGGCGAGACCGTGGGATGGGATGAAAAAAAGTAGTGTAAAAATTAGATTAACAGTAAGCAGATATGACCTATATACTGTATAGAGTGCTGAAAATAACTGAGCATCACAGTCTATTCTCCGTCTTCATCTTTAACCAGCAACAAGAGAGAAAAGCATAAAAAAGATCAAAGCGAGAGCTATCTCCATCACATCTTTCATTAAAGCCCTTAAATAGGCCCGGCGAGTGAGCATCCACCCTCGCCATTACCATCAGGTCAATACTAATATCCAGGTAAAACCTCCACATCCACCTCTCCTACCTGATTTTCATATACACAGCCTGGTCAATAATCTCCTCATCATCCCCTTCATTACAAGGCCTCTATCAGACAAATGCCAATCAATGACTCATACAGCGGCCTGATGGCAGAGCTTGATAGGGGTCAGAGTAGTCTGGTAACCCGTTGTACAAAGGCAATGAGTTAGGATACATGGGCTGGGCTGAATTACAAAACAGTACCAGGGATGTTAAGGAAGGTGAACCGTTACTATTGTTGCCAATTATAGGAAAGCAGGCTCCATGCTTTATGGGTACAATTAAGTGCAGCAAATAACAATAATAATAATAATAATAATAATAACAATAATAATTCACAACGGAGAGTCTACTGTGGCTGCCGGAACTCGGCCAAATACCAGTGCCAAGTGACCGACTCTTAAATCGATAATGACAATCTGGGATAAAAGACCAAGGTATCGCCTTTTAGAGAGAGGTCGCCTTTTTTGGCTGCAGCTTGAAACATTTTGTCCTTGCCGAAAAATGGATGCTCAGAACTGAACTGGACAAAAACAGACACATCAAGGTTCACTTGAGAATGCACTTTTGCGCACATTAAGAGCCGATTTACAGCATCTCCGAGTTTAATTCTCACATTACTCGGTAATAACGGGGGTGTCTGCCAGATGCTGCACCGAGGAGTCATACCAATTCATATTCTCCTTGGATCTTTGCACAGTTACTTACAAAACACTTGAGATACAAGTGCGGTTGAGGTTAACCAAGGTACTGTAAATCTACTCTCTGTTCTGTGAAAACCCAGAGCCTTTGATGAAGTAGATCCTGCACTTGGAGCTTGGTTGAATTATTTAAGCCTCGCCCAGGGTGCATTATGAAATTAGCTGCTGGGAGCTGGTGACCTACTCTGAAGCCCCTCAGTGTAAATCTACAGGGAAGAGCCCATCCTGCAGTTGACCCCACTGACACACCATAAAGACCCCATAAACAGACTGCTGGCCATGCTGTTTTAGTCCAGTTAGACCTCCGGCAAGGTAGAAAGGTCATATTTCCTCAAGTTGTGTAAGTTCAGGTTAACCATTATGGATGTGGAATAGTAGGATATGTGCTGTTTCAGCAATTAGGGAAAATTACAAACCTGCCGTAGTGGTAAGTGTATTTCATCCCACAGCATGCCTATGGGAACTGTTTGCATTGGCTTGTAATGGAATGTTAACTATGCTTGATATCTGTGGATGTTCAACAGATATGTTGTCCACTGCTTAGCCCACTGGCAGCATCCGCTTGGCACTAACCAACTCCGGTTTGCACGCCGCCAAATAGGTGTACAGGGAGAAGTGTGACCTTGCTAGGGCAGCACTCCAGGTTCTATCTGCGTGTGTGTATGTGTGTGTGTGTGTGTGTGTGTGTGTGTGTGTGTGTGTGTGTGTGTCTGTGTGTGCAGGTGCTATTGTTTGCTTTGCCAGGGCAGTTGTTTAGTAGCGAGCCTACAGTGCTGCTGCAGTGCGCTGTGACACTTTGATGAATCGATGGTCACTGTGCTGTACACCGGCAGGACAGCAAACCCTCAGAGTGGAGGAAGGAGACAGGGAGGGACCAAAGGAGAACAAGGGGAGCGGCGACGGTGACGGGCAGTGGGGGGTAGGGTGGACTGAGAGACAGAGCTGACTGACTAACTGACTGCATGGACGCATGAGAAAATAGATTTAGAAGACGTGATGTGAGGAATAATGGAAGCAAAGGTGAGACGAGGGACAAACTGAGGGGGAAATAAAAAATAGCAGCGGGAAAGGGGAGAGAGGGGGAAATGAAAGTGCGCTAGAAAGAACATGTCAGAAGGTCAACGAGAGGAAGAGCAACAGCCAATGGGAGTAAATGAGTTGGAAAGAATAGGAAAACTACATGGGATAAGAGATTTTTTTTTCTTTTTACCTATTTTCTGTATCTCGTTGCCCTCCTGTGCTGAGGTCACAGACCACCAGTGTCACATTCATAGCAAGACAGAGCTTAATCTGCACCGTTAGCTAAACCAAGAGGTCTATTCTGAGGGATACTTCAGCAGTGTGTGTGTGTGTGTGTGTGTGCGTGTGTGTGTGTGTGTGTGCATTTTGTTTATGTGAGTGTGAAGTGAGGCGAGTGTGCACACATGTCTGTGTATAGAGGTATCGGTTGTCTGCACATGTATGAGTGTAATCCC